CGCGCGTTTTTTGCAGTGACCAAGTTTCACCAGCCGTCCGTCGTCTTCATTGATGAGATTGATTCGTTGTTGACACAGCGTTCGGAGACGGAGCACGAGTCCTCCAGGAGGCTAAAGACGGAATTCCTGGTGCAGTTAGACGGCGCGGCAACATCTGAGGAAGATCGTATTTTAATCGTTGGTGCAACCAATCGACCGCAAGAACTGGACGAGGCGGCAAGAAGACGTCTCGTCAAGAGGTTGTATGTTCCTCTGCCAGAACTCGAAGCGCGTAAACAGATAATAAATAATTTATTGATGTCGGTGAATCACGATCTTAATGAGGAAGCTATCATGAAAATCGCGGAGAAATCGGCGGGATATTCCGGCGCCGATATGACTAATCTCTGTAAAGAAGCAAGTATGGAACCAATCCGGAGCATTCCCTTCAGTCAACTTGAAGATATAAAAATGGAGGAAGTGAGACACATAACAAACAGTGATTTTGAACAGGCATTAATCAACGTGCGACCCAGTGTGTCTCAGTCGGATTTAAAGATTTATATCGAATGGGATCGTATTTATGGTTCTGGCACTGCTCAAAGTTATAAAACCTAATGCAATATGTGCAAATAACTTAATTATATTTTTTATCTTAATAATATTTATAAATAATAATGTTATAAATTACCAAAAAGAAATTCTCTCGTGTTATTTTTGTAACTTCAAGTTTTCTAATAAATACATTATTTTTTGCAAAAATAAATTCTCTTTTTAGTATTCTCTTTTTAGAATTGTAATTCGTTTCTAATTATTACATCATGATTAAAATATTAGTTATTAATTAAATATTTGTCAAAGCAGACAAACGGTCTGCTTTGTGACAAATTGTATTCTTTATATTATATAATTATTTTATAGATTCATTAAAATAAATATAAATGAATATAATCTTTACATTATAATCATGAATAATAATATTTATATTATTTTGTAATATACATATAATGTTATAGTAATACAAAATAATATAAAAAATATTAAAATTAAATTAGTAGAATTTCAAATAAATAACAAGTTTTTCAAATATAATTGGCTACAGAATAGAACATTTCTAAAAACTCGAACTTTATTCTAGCCGTATTATCATTTAAAAATTTTTGTTACATGTATAGTGGGTGCATTCTGTTCCACGCATCATTTATCAATAATAAGGTTTTATTAAAATCAACATGAAATTAAATATTAAGTATAAGCATATTCAAGTCTATAACGATCAAAACTAGATCTTCTCAATGCCTAAATAATTTACAGTGAATTATTTAAACATTTGGGAAGATGCATCATTTATCCTTGTTTAACATTTGGTGAACAACAAGGATAAGTCGGTTGTTCCATTTTTTGATAAATTTTACCTATTGGGTAAGTAGCAATACGATTACCCAATCACATACGCGGATTACCAGATTTATCTCACAATTAAATTTACCAAAAAATGGAACAACCAGCCCTAAATAATGCCTCATGCGCATCATGCGTGAAACGAAATATATTGTATCTAATATGATAAATGAAATCGTAACAAAATATCGCATGCAATGTGAATCTTCGTTGGTAATTGGGTAAAACGGATAGGCGTTCTTATCGAGCGATTGTATATGATTGGTTAGATGTAAGTGATCTGTAAGTAACAACTAATTACTCGGCGGACAGACTAGCCGCTTTGTCAATTGGGCGAGTTCAAGACGTCAAAGCGACTAGGCATGCTTATCGAGTGAATATAATTGGTTAAATCTTGTGGTATTGAATATAATTGGTTAAATCTTTAAGTAACAACCAATGCAATTAAATAACAATGCATGCTGCATTATTTATCTTTTTTATTCACCGAATATTAAACAAGGATAAATGATGCACGATTTCATGCATGAAACGGAACGCAGCCTATATTTATTTGCTTCGCGAGCAGGCTAACTTAGGTTGTTTCCTATCTTGATACCTGTATTTCTTGCCATATTGCAGCGCATGCGCGCAATAATCAAGAACAAATAATGGAGAGCAAACTATTGGAGACTGATCGGCTTTTTGTTTGGTTAAATTCGTCATTTGCGACTGTTTGCGATCTTGCGAGATCCAGTTCATCCAGTCCAATTTAAGTCCAGAGTCAGCTAGCTAGAGCAAGTTAGAGCGTTCACTCCATATTTCCAGCCTCTTTCATTCGAATTATTCAGATTGGATTCTTTCCGAGTGTGGACGATGTAGAGGGCCCGTTCTTACCTGCGTAGCATAAACAAGAAGTAAATAATCGCAGACATTTTGCATTTCAAACGATTTGCGTAGAGCTAATCTGTTATCACTGATATTTTTCTAATAGAAATCGTGAAATTCGCAAGCATTTCGAGAAACAAGTGAGATTTAATCAAGTAACAATGTTCAATCAAAGCAACTCGTTGAGGACAGGAACATCGAATACATCGAATCCGATGCAAGACTTCGAAGTTGTCTCACCGCCGGACGACTCGGTCTCGAGCCTGGCGTTTAGTCCGGCGTCCATACAACAAAACTTTTTAGTGGCCGGCTCCTGGGATTGTAATGTTCGTTGCTGGGAGGTAGAGCAATCGGGCAAGACTGTTCCAAAATCCATGCAGAGTATGGCAGCGCCAGTCTTAGCTGTATGCTGGAGTGATGTAAGCCCTTCGATAATTATACAATTAGATTGATTGAATGTATTTTTATTAAGATTTGAGGTAGACGGGATATTCTCAACATTTACCTGCAATTATAGATCATCGTATTCTCAAAAAATATGAAAATGTATAAAATACTATAGTATATGTTACTGATTGCTTATACATATTGATTGCTTTTCATTTTTATCAAAACCTAAGTCATTTACATTTGTGATATTGTGACTCAATTGAATATATATTTCTTTTCATTTTGACAAATGAGATTCAACTGTTTAAGATCATGTCTAAGTCTTACTAACTTATATTAAAAAATGGAAATTACAAACCTGTTATGACAAAAAGTAAATTTAATGTTGTTAAGTATAAAATACTCGCATAACTTTAAACTTAATATCACTTTTGCAAAAGGAAAAAGCAACTATTATAGATTTTTTTATTATATTTGCATGTAATATTTTTCAAGATATTTTATCTCTCTTCTTTTTATCTCTAATGGAATGAAAAAAAGGAAAAATGATTTATATAAGAAGTTCAGTTGAAGAAATAGATCTTATATATATATAATAGATCTTATATATGGTGAACATGACTATCCAGATAGCATGGACGTTCTCGTAATACACGTAGCTGTGTTGCAAGGTTGCTACAATATTGCTGAAATGTTCCATACTACCTGGATGACTAAATGACGTTAAATATTACACATTTATAATAATAATAAGCTATCTTATAATATGTAATAAGTTATTTAATAATTGTTAGGATGGAACCAAAGTATTCATGGCAGGTTGTGACAAGACAGCAAAGTGCTGGGATTTGGCTACAAATCAGAGCGTACAAGTGGCAGCTCATGATGCGCCTATTAGAACATGTCACTGGATAAAGGCGTCTTCATATTCCTGTTTAATGACTGGTTCCTGGGATAAGACGCTAAAGGTAATATTCAATTTTCATTTTTATTTTTGTTATATTTTACAGGTTATTTGTTTATTAATTAATTTTTTTTTGTTTATCAGTCCGTCAGTTTTCTTATAGCAAATTCAATCATTTGTCTTAATTACATTATGCTGATACGTATTAAAAGCTGTTATACATGAAATTAACAAAATGTATTGATTATAAAAAGAAAGCAGTCTAAAGCTGCCTTTATGTGCACTAATTTAGTATAGTGTGAGTGAATGGAATGTGTGAAATGTGTGATGGAATTCATAATTAAATATTAGTCACTATTATTAAAATATTTTTTGATATTACTTAATTCTTCTATCACAATGTAAAATTTCCAGTTTTGGGATCTGCGCAGTCCTAAACCTGGATTGATCATCAATCTGCCTGAAAGATGCTATTGTTCGGATGTTGTAAGTACACACAAACCATATAATAAAACACATTATGCTGACATGTAGCATTATTGATATTAATAATATCACAGGACTATCCTATGGCGGTTGTGGGAACAGCTGGACGTGGTTTAATAGTTTATCATCTGGAGACCACTCCACGTGAATTTAAACCCGTCGAGTTGAGCCTAAAGTATCAGTACCGTTGTGTGGCGATCTTTAGGGACAAGAAAAAAGTGCCAACCGGTTTCGCAATAGGAAGCACAGAAGGACGTGTTGCGATTCATCATCTGAATCTCAGTACAAAGGAGAACTTTACGTTTAAGTGCCACAGGACCAATGGCACACCTAATGGATATCAAGATATCTACGCGGTTTGTTTAGATTTAGAATTTTGGTTTTATTTAGACTTTCCATTAAAATGAAATTAAATTAAGATCATGTTAAGCCTGTATCAGATTAAGACTGAAATTGGATTTAACCAATTAGAACAAAGAAAAAAATGTATAGATCGTTTTTAGTTGAACTTATTGTACAATTTATCTCTCCTCTTTTTCTCTGTGTTTTTTGAAAAAGAGAAAAGCTGAACATACAAGAAAGCTAAAAAGAACAAGTCTAATATCAATATTAGTGAAACAAAGTTCTGCTTTCATCAAATTTCAATCTATTCTCAATTCTAATTTGTAGTCTAATACAAGCTTTACGTTTTTTATCTTATTGTTAAACAAATGCCCAATAATTTCGATTCGTGGACAGGTAAACGATATAGCATTCCACCCGGTACATGGCACCGTAGCGACTGTAGGCGGCGATGGTACTTTTGGATTTTGGGATAAAGATGCACGTACTAAGCTTAAATCCTCCGAAACGATGGAGCAACCCATCACACGTTGCTGTTTTAATCACAATGGGCAGATATTCGCCTATGCTGTTTCTTACGATTGGTCAAAGGTATCGTTGTCGTTTGAAGTACGATAATCATTGAAAGGTCTGTGTGCAACGTTATTAATTTACAAATGTTTCAGGGCCATGAGTACTATAATCCAGCGAAGAAAAATCAGATCTTCCTGAGACCATGTTACGATGAACTGAAACCGAAGGCTACGCCTTAAGCTGATGACATTCGAGCGAAACAGTGTGTGAATTTAGGTGTATTACAAGGTGTATTATTATAACATTCATATATTTTCATTCAAAAAGTATACTATTGATACTTCCTTTTTACTTACAACTGTTAACATGCGTGTAATATAAAATACAGTTAAAATAGTAATTATTGGTTTTTTCTTTGTATAGTGTGACATAAAGAATTGATACTACGAAGTATGTTTTGACATAATATTTGTGTATTATTTGTTTATTTATCTTTGCACAAGAATCTGAATTGAAATGATGATGAATTCTAAGATATTGGATGGTAAATTAATGCCATAATTCGTAAAGTGAGATAATATTTAAATAAACCTTCCTTTAAATAAACCAATAAAATGCATTTTTTTAAAAAAAGTGCATGTGTACGCTTTTTTTTTTTACAATATAATTTCCTTTCTCCAGTTGAATAACGTGTTATATTTGAATAATAGTAAAACTAGATAGTTCTAACAGTTCTGAATATTACTGAAGAAATATAAGAAGCTGATATAATTATATTAATTAGGTGATGTAATTATATTGTTATTATTTAGTTAACATTTATATTTAGCTATGATATGACCTATTCCTAACAAAGTCGAATTTAAATTACTTCTTTTACTAAAAAAAAATCAGAACCACCGACATCAATCAGATCCTTCGTGCATTTTCACACACATGCATTAAACTTCTACAAATAAACCTATATTAAACTAAATAATAAAAATTAAGCATTTATACATATTTTTTTATTATAAATAAATTAATTACAATCAAAAAACATTTATTTACGTACTTAACAGGTTTATTTTCCAAAATAAAGTACATATATAAATACATAAATTCGAAATGGTCGCGTTTCGCGTCAAAATGGATATGAGTTCGCGGTACTTTAGAAATCTAGTGACTTTAACACAAATCGATCAAAAGCGATATAGAATACAAATGCACAGAAATATAAACAATATGGCCGACGTATGAGATATATCGGCACGCGAAAGCGACACTGTTTAATAAATCAATATTTAAGCTATGTACATTCTGATGCCATATAGACCTATCATTTAAATGCGCCAATCGACTAATTTCTCCGTGAGAGACATATTCTCCGCGTTATGATGTCGTCGGAGAAGGTAGGTTATGTAGCATCGACAGCTGTACTCTATATGAAGTTATTTAATAAAAATGTTAACGATACAAAAAAAATAAAAAAATTAACGATATAAAAAGGGAAAAATATATTATATTTTGACCATCAAATTTATATCCCTGTTCGTCTTATTTGATCTGCTACACAAATTTTATGCTTTGGTTTTCTACTATTTGTATATGGGATATATTTTTTATTTCTGCAGTAAACAATTTTTTTTCTCATTTTAATCAAGTATCAAGCACATATTCTTATTTCAGTAACTTTCAAAAGTATAGTTCAACTAATTCAACTATAAAAAAAAACAAATCTATAAAGAAATGTTTATTTAATTGTATACATTTAATAACAGGTCCTTTATCGACTAGACCAACCCCATGGCAGTGGTAACGTTTATATTTCTTGGCGCCCTGGTAATAGTACACATTTGGCCACGACAGGTTGCGATTCCACCGTTGCTATTTTTGATAGACAAGGAGATATTCAGGAACGAATACAAATTTCCGGATTATGCACTGGCTTTGGCTGGGATTCAGATGGGGATCTACTAGCAATAATATCGCAGAATTCGTCAACTATAATTCTATGGGACGCCACAACTGGGAAAAAGGCCCAGATAGATGCGGGTGTGAGGGATGGGCTTACTTGTATGATGTGGGCAAAAAAGAGTTGTCTACTGGCTATAGGGACACAGAAAGGAAATCTGGTGCTTTACGATCACATAAATGCCAAGTATGATATCAACCATAACAAACAAATTATAAATAATGTTTCCTAGCAAGAGACATTATAATATAGTAATCATTTCATCTTTACTTAACATTAGCAACAAGAATGTAATGATTTATTATAAACAGCATATAATAGAGTCTGAAGTTGATTATGTCATTGTGTTTATAATACATATTTTACATATATAAAGCAGCCTTTAATTCATATTAATCTAGTGTAGTGTATGAATGACCCTAATTCATTTACTTACTCTATACTGTCTCACTTTATAATCTTAAGTTACAAAGTGAGATAGTTAAAATAAAATAATACAAAGTATTTGAAAAACGCTAGACATAATGTGCGATGGCAACTGCCGCTTGTAAACAACATGTCTAGCGACGACGAACACGCGTTTCACCGCGCTGGACGATCCTATCCTGTCGCGCGTTTGCATTTGGTAGGACGAATTTGACTATTTTCATAAGTTAATAACTCATTAATTATCGTGGAAATTGTAAAATGATAGAGGACTTTTCTTCTCAGTTTAGTCCATTCTGCCCCTATGCGAAAGATTTATCGTTCAAACACCCTATATCTACACAGGAACAGTATACATACTTTTTTCTCTTAGAATTTTTAACAAAATCATTCATGGCCAGACTTTGTTATAGGATCTCTAATTCACTGTATTATACTGTGTTATTTGTATCTCTTGCTAGAAAGCATTCACAATGTGTAAAATATTTTAAAATTGTTTCATTTAATTGTTTTGTGTTACACAGGCGGATACCTATTTTGGGAAAACATAGAAAGCGTATTTTATGTGGCGCATGGTCGATGGATGGTCTTCTTGCCTTGGCAAGTGAGGACAAGGTTTTGACTATCAGTACGAGCGAAGGAAACACTCGTCGAGAGATAACTCTTCAAGGCGATCCGTCTCATATACAATTTAGCGAGATGAAAATGGATCACAGAATAGGCGGTGAAAACACGGTACATGATTTTATAACACTCGTTATGAAAAACATCTATAAAATATATACAGTTGTTACTTTTATATATTCAAAAATATGTTTAGGTATCCCTTATTGTTAGTAAAACGACATTATTCTTGTACAATATTCTGGACCCAGAAAACCCTATTGAATTGGCATTTCAGAAACGTTATGGATTAATTGTAACTTACAAGTGGTAATTATTTGCTAGTATTAACAAATAATTTTAATAAACTCTGATTTATTATATCAATTATGATGTACATGCACTTCCACTTTATAGGTATGGCGACGGTTACATATTAGTAGGATTCGAAGCTGGTTTCTTTATAGCGATATCTACACATATAAAGGAAGTTGGTCAAGAATTATTTCAAATCAAGAATCACAGAGATTCTCTGTCAGATATTGCGCTGAGTCAAGCAGTTGGTAAAGTGGCTACTTGTGGCGACAGTATGTTGAAAGTACATAGTTTGCAGAATCTGGAGGAAACCGAGACGTTGGTCACGGTGACCAATGAGAATGGAATTAGCAATATCGAATGGTCGACGGACGGAACGATGCTGGCAGTTGTAACTTACGTCGGCAATATTTTAATTTATTTGATAGAGATTCCAAAATTAACCAGCGTCTGCGGCAATAGAATAGCATTACTAACGAGTCTGATGGAAGTGGCTGTACATCTTTATACTTTAGATAAGGTATCTTCGTTAATGCATAATAATAGAGTAGACATTTTTTATCAGGACAAATTATATTTTCAGGACAAACCGAGTCCGCAAATAATCAATACTATAATAGAACCGGCAATATTAGCAGTGGGACCAATACATTTAGCAGTAGGATTAAATAATAGAGCGCTCTTTTGGGATTTGTCTATAAGCCATTATGATCAAATACATTTCGAAAGGGACTATTTAGCTACGATAGATAGTATACGCTTGAACGAGACATATGTATCGGCACTATTCGATGGGAAACTGCAGTTGCATTCGGTAATTAGAAATTTTTAATTAATAGTAAAAATTTCAAAAACAAGGCAGGCTTATTAATTCTTTATGTACAGATTAAATCCGATCAGGCTCTAATAAATAGCGGGAAGGATACAAAGATGTTTCCAGATTCAAATTCTTCTCACAGTAGAATAACGTGTCACGCACTTTGCTCTGATTTTCTAGTTTATGGTAATGATGTAAGTTAGAATCATGCGATAATTTTGAATAATGTTATAAATTAGAAGACTATACTATTTTTAATTTTTAGATGGGTCACATTATATATTTTTGCTTGGAAACATTTCATCAATGTACTGAATTTATACATAACAATGGAATAAAGGAGCTATATCTAGATGCGAATGGAGTACAATTGTGTTTTATTGATAATAAGTTGGATGCTTATGTATTTGATCCGATAAACGAAGCGGCCATTGCTGTGCCTGATTGTCCTGATAACATTGATGATATTCTCTGGGATCAGAACATATTTGAACGTACTATATTTGCAGTGTATAACAAAAGCATTATTGTAACGTACATTTTCGTAAAATACTTTATTGAAGGCAAGTAAACCTGAATGAGCGTTATACATTATTACTATGAAGTCTCATACCTGATTATGCCATGAACAGGTACCAAAATAATAAAAATAAATACGACCAAGTTGCCATCAGACTCAGTGCCTTTACTAATGTACTCTGGCGAAGTAACGCTGAGTACAATGGGTAGTAAATTAATACAATTAACATTAACATCTCACGAAGAAGTAGGGAATATCGTGGAATCGAAAAAAATTAATGAGATTTTTGAGAATCAAATTTTATGCAGACGGTAAGCTTTACATAATCCAATTTGAAAGTAGAGAAATGTATATAAAATATTTAAAAGAATGCTTTCGAATTATTTTTTAGATTTCAGCAAGCATGGAGTAGTTGCGAAAAATTGAACGACAAAGATACATGGCTAAAACTGGGACGAAGCGCTATTGCAAATTTAAATGTCGAATTTGGTAAGTGTAATGTTATTGTTATATGATTATGATATTGTATAATGTTATATAATCATTAATTTTATATATTACATAATATATTATATATTATATAATATATTGTATTATTGAAATATGTTAATTGAATTGATCGTATGTTATAGCTATTCGCGTATATCGGCAAATGGAAGATGCAGCAATGGTGTGGACATTACAAACTATGGAGAATATAGATGAATTGGCTTTGTTGTGCGGTCATGCATGTATATTACTAGGAAATTATAATGAAGCCGAAAAATACTTTCTGCAATCTTCTGAGCCTGTACAGGCCTTATATCTAAGGAGAGATTTAATGCAGTGGGAAC